TGGCTGTTTATCTGAAACAAAGATAAATAACCTCTGACTCAGAAAACCATTGAAGAATTCCATTTTGTACAGAATTTTGCTTCCACGAGATATGTCATGGAAATACATAATATGTACCTTTCTTCTCTCCCTTTTTTTTTTTTCAGTATGCAAAAAAATTTAAGAAGATATACCCGTTAAACTAAAGGGCAAAACCAACTTAATAATGAGAAATATTAAGATACTAGATATTGTATTTCATTTGTGGCAAAATTATTCAGAGCTTTATACTGAGATAATTTTTTTTCATTTGACTTGGCACAAATTTAGTATACATTTATAAATGCCTGGAGCCACTTAGTTTAATTTTAGCAAAATGTTTTGACCCAGTTAAGAGAAAGGGAATGAAATCATTGTCCAACAGGCATAAATAGCATTACTAATTGGATTCATTTTGCAAAGTTAGGCAAATCAAATTCTCATTACTGGATCTAAACCAACATGCTCAACAATGTATTTTTTCCATAGTCTTCCATATGCTGTGACCCTCGTATGTTGTTTAGTTAGACTGATTTATCCCTATACTTACAGAAAAAAAGCACTTTTCTCTAATAAGAATTTTCTCCAGTTCATTTTTTTTTTTTCCCAAACACTCCTCTTTATTTCTGGGGCCTTTCTCAGAACTCTGAGTTTTTCCCTCAACGTATTCCCTGGTAGAATTTTGCTCGTTCCCTTTTGATGTAAATTCTGAGCTCAGAGGGCACATTATCAAGTACAACGGGAGAGGTCTAATAATGTTTGTGGACCAAGATTTAGAGTGGACCTTCAACAAGATTTAGGCTGAATGACAGCGCCTAGATTTGAGGTCATGTTCACAAACCAGGTCTCCAATGACATCAGGAAATATCCCTCCCTTATGGACTGCAAATCTTTCCAGATATTAAACTTAGTGCTGTATGTGTATGAGCCATGAGAGCTAGCCACGTACACCACTAGATGAGCCTCACAGCATAAGAAAGGACATAATATCTTGTATCCTCAACATTAGTGTTCAGCTGCTATGATCTGGCTGCATTCAAAAAGTCAGCTTCAGAGGTTTGAGTTCGTGCAGCTGGAGTTCTGGAATAAATTGCTGCCAAAATACCAGAACCATCATACATCTGGGTTACACAGACTGTCTGGGTAGCAGGGAGAATAGAAAATATAGTATCTGCAGTTCTTCACCTGTCTATAGAGGAGAGCTGCCTGTCCTGCAGTGATGAATTTCTTGCCTTCTCTTTTAGATATTGCACATTATTTTTAAAGTAGTTCAAGGCATCTATTTTATAGAAGAGTACCAATATGTTTGTGCTCAATGAAACTGACAAAAACTACAACTTCAGAATAAAGGAAAGGATCATCTTTTCCTCCAAAGTCTTCAAAGGCTTCACAACCAAGAGAAAAATAAAGTGGTCTCATTCTCTTTCCTGATCCAAGGAAAAAATCTTACATATTGCACTGCTAAGAAGTTTATGATGTTCTCTCAGCACTGAGGAATATCCTTGATAGTGTCTCAAGTGGCTCTCTCATCAAACCTCACATTAAATAGAACTTTCTGCTTTTTCAGATTTGGAAATTACCTTTGCATTGGAAAATATATTACAAGAAGAAAGAAAGTGCAAAGCAATAAAACAACTTTACAGTAATAAAGCAATCACCATGTGCTAATGCAGACATGTAATGGATTCATCCACTGGAGTTATGCAGGTTTTCACATAGTGATCACTGTGTTCCATTAAATACCTTTTGCTGATAATATGATGAAAAGATTCCTCTTTATGCTAGAAAACATCTGAGAAACTGTATTGCTCTCTACCACTGTGGAAGCAGAGGAAAACTCTAACAGAGAAATGCTTTGTTTCATAAAAGTGCTAGCAGAGTATGTTCATTTAAATGGTGTTCCAGCTCTGCTTAATCATTATTTTAGTTTTCCCAGAGGCACAACTTCTTTCACTAGACAGTAATTATAGGAGTTCTCATGTGCAAGAAAGTTTTAAACCTCTAATAACATATGAGGGTAGATGCATGCATGACACATCTACTTAGATGGAAGTTAGCATAACTAGTTTGATTTCTCTTGGCCTTGAGAAGAATCCACACATTTCTCTAATTTTAAAAAGAAATTAATATGGGATTGGTATCAATCTCATTATTTTTCACTTTTCATGCTCTTCCATTACACCCTCTCTTTATTTCTGCCACAGTTGCACAACTGTGGGCTTAGATAACAGCACACTAAAAACATCAACCTCTTCAGCAGTATGACAAATGCAACACACATTGTTTCCTGAGTTTTCGGCCATGAGGACAGTTACAAGGTAATTGCAACAAACATAATCAACTTTTTCTTAATTTAGATTTTTCATACTCTAGTATAAGCCTTGAAACAAACTCGGACTTATATAAAAGCATCCTGCTGCTCATATAGGGTGTTCAGCTCACCACAGAACTGAATTTGTACATTCCTCAAATTCTACACCAAGGCTCAAAACTCTGCTTCTGTGTGCTTGCAAATACATTTGTTATAAGATAGAGGGGGAAAAAAAAGAACTTCCGAGAATTTCCATATTTTTGTGAGGGTAAGTTTCAGTCTGGGTACCAGTGTCAGTTTTGACATTTAGGACAGGAGAAAGAAGGGGATAGAATTCTAAGTCAGTGCTTGCAGCACTGCAGGGGAATGACATTTAGTGTCTACTGCATATATCACCATTGTTTATGAAAGGTACAGTACTGCTTAAAATTCTGTTTAAATGTGGAGCATTCTAAAATTGAAGATATATACAGCTTTTAAATTGCTTATTTTTCTGTATCTGATTGCTCTTTAATATCAGGGAAAGGTTGAAGGACTGATCAAAATCTAAGTACACGGGAATCTACTCTATTCAGCTTTTGAAAGCTGAAAGAAGATTTAGTATTTAAATTTTCAGATTATCTCAGAATGTGTAAATCCTTTTCTACTTCCATTTATCAGCAAAAAATATTAGTATTCAATGCCCTGGGGAAAATGCACTGTCTTCATCTGCAAATAGAACGGGCAAAAGCTATTAAGTTCCAAGTCAAGTGTATGTGACCTAGGATTTAGTCTCAACTTTTAAATTCTCAATTTAAGCAAATATCAAAGAACAACATTCATAAAAAGAAACCACTTTGATACCTGAAAACTAACTTATTCTTTGTAGTGGACAAAGAATGGTTTGAAAATATTTACATAGTAAATTCTGTTCGCAAAGCCAGTTATGAAGAACTGTTTGCACAGAGCTGCTTATGATCTGGGAAACATCCAGTCAAGAATAATTGTACAATTACAATGTAGAATTAAATTAACCAATCATAACAATTAGTGTAAATGAAAGCTACAATAAAAATTTTTGTATGATGTAAAGTTTGCAGGACTGTGGTATGCAGGAGAGGTCCACTGACAGACAAGTTTAGTGAATTCCTGATTTACAATGAATTTGGAATTTTGTTCCATAAAACAAATCTTTTCTCTCCTGGCAAAATATGTGATTTAGCTTACTGGTTATTTATTGTGATTAGCACTACTTGATCTATATGAATTCTATATTAATAAATTAGTAATAAGTTTTTGCTAACATAGATTTTACCTTCAGCGTCTGTCAGTTAGCAACAGAATCATTAAGAGAAATTAAAGACTATAACTGACTTTATAACTCTGTATTCCTGATTAATAAAAGAGGTGAAAAAACAAGCCAAGCTATTCTTATATGTAAAAGTAGTTGCCCTTATACAATAAAGTCTCGTGAGCCATGTGTGCAAATATTTTCATACAAATAAATATGCTAACATGCGGATGCTTAATCTTAGCATTTAATTTGCATTTTCTCTTTCTTGATGTCAGATTGTTCTGTACTTTTTTTATACTTAGCTACTTTTTTATTATTATCCAGATATTTAAAGTTTATATGTACGGATAAATAGATACGGCCAGGGAAGTTGTGGCTGCCCCATCCCTGGAGGGGTTCAAGGCCAGGCTGGATGGGGCTTGGAGCAACCTGGTCTGGTGGGAGGTGTCCCTGCCCAGGGCAGGGGGGTTGGAACTCGATAATCTTTAAGTTCCCTTCTAACTCTAACCATTCCATGATTCTATATTTCTAAATCCATAGATACATGTAACTACGCATATATTACACATTTTATATCATGTATATAAGACTCTAAAGCATTCTACTTATAGTAAATGAGGTTAAAAAATCATATACAAGACAGTCTAGATGATAAGGAGTGGAATTTTTTCCTCAGTAGTTTAAGATAACAAAATTGCACTGGAAGGATCCATATTAATATTTAGCTCATATGTTCTCTATTAACCAGTTACACCTCATAGGAGAGATTAAGGACTTTGGTCCTTGTCTGTCATAAATCAGTGCAGTTCCACTGAAGTCCTGGGGATTAATTTATACTAGTCAAGAATCTGGAATATATTTTTATTTTTACCATATACTATGAAAAACTTGGAGCTAACCAATAATACAATGAAGGGAGATATCCTCCTAAGATGCCCTAACTTTATTCACCTTCTTCTGGGGGGGGGTGTTTGGGGTGGTGGGCACACTGTGATGGGAGACAATATTTATTAATGTGAGAAAAAATAAATTGCACGCATTTCTCCTTATCTGATTTTGTTACAGAACAAATTTTCTATGAGGAGCATAAATAATTCACTGTCAAATTAATTACAGCCCACTTGGTTTATAAAGTAATTACTTGAATATATGTTTAAGAGTTTAGGAATGTTGTAAAGAAATACCATTGAGCAAATCAATATTTATGGGTTGGATTTACCTGGCTTGCCTCACATCTTGGCCCCTAGACTTGAATGAGAGATGTGAAAAGATTGCAGTGTGATCTCCTTTACGAAAAAACTCAAATCAAAACCAAACAAAAACCACAACCAAGGCATGAAAAACAAAAAGGAAAATTTTGGAAAGGAAGTTCCTTTACAGTAAAGGAAAATCATGTACCTGTTGTCAGGTTGTGATGTCGTGGAGCTTCTTTTGCCAGTGGGACTCCTAAAGAACAAAATATAGATGATAAGTTAATCTTCAGTTTCAGGCCAAAATACTTAAATAAATTTCAATAAGAAATATGCTAGTTGCTTGGAATCAACTCACAGATAAGAATCTCTATAAACCAGATTTTTTAAAGCATGACCTTCCTTGTAAATTATTCAAACATAGAAATTTTATGTCTAATAAGACCATAGAAGGAAACTGCTTCTAGACAGTAGTTAGCAAGCTTACACCAGTACAACTAACTGTCAGCCTTTGAGATTCCAGGACTTCAATATAGAGTGTTTATACGCAAGTCACTGTCTTTAACCAAAGTAGAGATATTTATGTCTTAAACCACTAACTTAATAAATTAGTGAAACTTATTCCTATTAATTATCTTCAGAGATATAACAGAAACCATTTCCCTGACTGCGTATTACTGTAGGGAAACAATCAAGGCAGTGCTGTGTCCAACAGGTAAGACAGAATATAAGTAACCGTGAAGTGTATTTTATGTAAAAAGTGCTTCTTGTTATCAATGTAGTTATGCTACATCAGACATTCTATTACTGGGGATTTGTGCCCAATTTCATCACTTCGGTTTCCCTGCACATACACAGAAAGACTAACAAAGCTCCATTTTCCAATCCCATGAAAAAAACTAATGTTTGCATTTTCATTGCTGTTGGCAGAGATTTTCACCCCTTCATTACCTTTGCTTTTTTCATCTTTCAGATGTTTCTTCTCAGTTGTTTTTTCTAGCAAGGAAAAAAATAACACAGTTCAACGCTGGTAAATTGACCGAATCCTGAATAGATCATTACCTGGAGTTTTAAAATACTATTCTTTAAGTATTAACCCAGATTTTTTATGTGTTGTTTCAAATAGCAATACATGCAAAATTGTAATCTCATACTATTTTTATTTTGATCTATGTATATATGCACACACAGAGTAGATTCCTACTCTACGTATATATGCACACACAGAGTAGATTCCTACCTTCTTTTTCTTTAGCTGTCTTTGTTTTTTTCGTGGCTAGAAAGGTTTGCAAGGAAACAACATTAAGTGACAGGCATCAGAAATATGGGGCTCTTGCCATAAGTACATTGCACAAAACTGATTGCTGCCCTAGTAATTCCCCTGGAATAACAACTGTGGTAAATATATCTTATGGCATGTATACAATGCATCTAATATTACAATAGTAGCTGCTACCTTTAATGGTAGTAGCAGTTCTCAGCTTTCTGAACAGTCACTGGAAATTGTCTAAATATTGCTAGTTGCAGAGTAGTTTGGAAATTCCTGATAAGGCTTCAGACACTAGAATTCTATAATTCTCTAACTAATGCCAGAATTCCCTAATTATTGGTTTCCAAAATGCGTCAGGGAAGGAGCCCTCTGCTTATTGCCTGCTTTTTACCCTCTTTCCTGGAGCAATCTCAATCATCAATAAACAAACAAACAAACAAAACACCCCAACCCTAGGATATGGAGCTAGATGGACCTTTAGAACCAGCAAACGTGACCACCCCGAAGTCCTGCAGCAGTAGATTCGGAGTTATTTTATTTAGTTTATTTTTGTCTAATTGCACATTCACTTAGAACATGTGTTTCTTCCCTTTCAGCATCCTTTTCCCCAGCCCACAAACACAGACATTTGGTCTGTGATTCCATTCAACAAGGCAGACTGAAATTAAGGAAGGTGTATTGCTTCAGGCATGTGAGCCCGTTTCAGTATTCCCTGTTGACTACAGCAGAAAACTGGCAGGCTGCCTTCAAATTGTTCATTTTCATTTCATATTGCCCAACCAGTTGTAATAACGCTTTTTTCAATGTCTTCTGGTGCATGTGTTATCTGATTAACACTAGCCTGCTCAGTGCTGATCACCTGTGTCTAGCTCAACAAAACCTGCTGCAGGAGACAAACAGTGAAAATAAAAAAAATCAGCTGATCAGAACAGTTTTTGATAGAGAACTGTGTAGCTGCAATGCTGTCAGTTTACCAATCAGCATTGTTCGTGGCTGATGAACAATATGTATTCATCAACACCAGTATGTTCATTAATTCTTTCCATAAGACATACCAGAGAAATGTAATATTTACCTGCTGTTGGGATTTCACCTGTTGGCTCTCCAGGAAAATAATCAGAAAGGAAGAGGAAGGATGGAAGGAAAATAATGTGAGGTTCAGTACCATGTTTGTTCAAGGCAAGTAACTAGTTAAATAGATCTCTTTCATCTGCAACTTTTCTGCAGGATATTAATTTTCAAAGAAATGTGCCTTAACAATGGGCGTGTACATAGAATTTCACACTGAAAGCTGAGTCCCACTCTTTGAAGTGCTATAATCCAGCATGCAATAGTTCCTGCAAATGCAAACACTGTACCAATCAAAGCTTTCTGTCAAGCAAATATTTAGAGTTCTTTTTAAATGTGCATTCAAGGCTATAGCTGACTATATTTTCTAATAAAATGTATTCAGTTTAATTGTTACCTCTCTTTTTTTGTCATCCACACATCCCAGCCGAAGACTGACACTGACCTTAAATTGCTGGCATTCACCCCTGTATAACTCTTTCTCCTGCATTATCAGTTTGCCTGGCCTTTTAAGAGTAAAACCTCTTGAGAGCTGGAAAAATTTTGACTACATTTTTGTACAGCACCTAGCACAAAAGCAGCATATATTCCTGTGCTATTGTAATACCCGTAATGATTAATGAAAGTCAATCAATGCAATGGGATGGAAATGCCCTGGTATGAACCATCATTACTCTTTTTAAATCAAAGGAATGAATTAAATTGTGATTTGGATTCCAAGCATTTTTTCCACATTGCTAATTCATTGGTTTCAGTTTTATTTTAGAACCCAATTTGAAGGAAAGAGAATAACCTCGCTAGCCAAGCAAAACTTTTCTTATTTGAACCTAGAACTGGATAAAATAGGAATATGCTCATTTAAAGATCTCATTTCATTGAATTATCTCTGTGTTTTCCTCATGCCAAGTTTTGGCTTCAGATGAACATAAGGTTCTACAGCTCACAACAAGGTGAAAAAGCTTCAGTCAATGCTTTTTCAACAGGAAGACTGAGCAATTAGGCATGGTTTTCACTAACACATCCCAGGAAACTTTCACTCAGGTTTTTGTTCATAAGGAGACTCAAAAATGTCAGTGCTCAATGCTTAGGAACCACAAGCATTCAGCAAAGGCCAGTCTTGCTGCTATTAAATGTTATCATGCTTTTATACATGTATAATATTTACATTTGTGCTTATGATCATGCTCATAGTTGCTGACAGCTGGTCTACTACTGCATCATGACCCATGGATTAACAGCTCTTCTCATTTTCACAGAAGAAAAAAAAGACTTGTCTGAGCAAATCTAAGGACAAAATCTAGGGGAGGGGTGCACACCTTTACTCCTTAACCCAGGAGTTCTTCTTCTTGATTGCAAAACATGGTTTGGTACTACCTCTTGCATGAGTAAGAAAAAACATCGGATTTGTCCTCTGTTCAAAATAACCTCTCCCAATTTGAGAGTCTTTAGTGTACAGGAAGTAAATTCTGAGTTGTGTGAATAATTTTGGCCCAAGAAAAGTATATGGATTTATTTTACATTCCTACTAGACCTGAACTTCAAAAATCAGTGAGTATTTTGTGTCCGTGGCTACGTCTCAGGCTGAATTACATGAAAGCTACGTTCATGCTATCACTAGCATACTGTACACCTGGCTGAGAAATATATGAAGCAAAGCTACATAGAGCTCTAGAAATAAAGGCAGCAGTGATCCAACTAAGTGTTCTTTGAGTGGCAAAAAAAAGTAATTTAAAATAGATGTTTCTGGGCAGTCATCCAACTAAGTGTTCTTCTTTGAGTGGCAAAAAAAAAGTAATTTAAAATAGATGTTTCTGGTGCTTAAAATGTTGAACTAGATATATTCAAGGATGATTAGCTGAAAATAGGCAGTGTAAACAGAAATACTTTTGTATATGACCGTAGGTCTGCCTGTTACTCCCCACCCCCCGCCCCCCTTTTTCTTTTTCTAAAGGCACTGTTAACCTTTATAATGATTTCTAGCAGCAGGATATAAGCTCAAGAATGTGGTACAAATATCCCTCTGCAAAGGTCAAGGGAAAATATCTTGGCTGTTCCTTATAATCACAATATATCAGGTAATATAGCTCTTGATAAAAAAAGCATTGTAGACTGATTTTGAGTCAAAATTATTCTAATTGCAGAAAGCATGAGAAATTAGTCACTTAAATCTCTGATGGTTCTCTAATAGAAGAGAGTGCCATCAGTGGGTCTCTCGGATAAATCAGTGCAGAAGACAAAAAATGTCAGTGAACAGATCCAGTGAATATAAGAGTGAACAAATCTGAATAATGGAGTAAATAGAGGACATTTTACATAAAATATTGGCAAAAATGGAAATAAACCTACCAATAGCTTCACATAAAGTAATAATTTTGCAATGATGACTTGAAAACTGAGCACTGCAATTCAGAATTGCAGGAGACCCTTCAGTGTTGGCACATTTCAGATGCTTTGTGTTCCCCCTTCCCGTTGGAGCTGGGGTTCAGATTATCAATGTGTCTTCTGAGAGCCGTTTAAGAGTGAATATTCACCTTGTCTAACTTCAAGCACCTAACATAGGAGACTAAATTGGGAAGCTTAATGGAATCAGTTTGCCCCCTGACAAACTGACAAGCTGACAACAGCCTTGCCCTGTTGTCAGCTTCTGACCTGGCACAGGAAGAGGGCTGTATCTCATGGAGCTTGGCCTTGGTTTTGGGTGCTCTTTGTAGATTACTTTGCATCAGAATAACACATGATTTGGTCTCGATGTGCCAGGCACAGTACAAAAAAAACCTAACAAAGCAATGATCCTGTTCTACAGAGGCTACAAATAATTCACCTGTGAAGGTCCATACTTCAACATTTTCACAATTCAAAGCATACGGTGTAAAAACTGACCTTCTGATTGTTGTTTGATCATGATTTGCAGTATGTAATGTGCAATGACTTGCCACAATAAGCATAAATCCCAGTCTTTATCTATTCATAAGTCTTACTGACCTTAACAAGGACATTATTCAATAACTTTAGTGGAAGCCTCTGTTATGCAAGAGATTCCCCTTGAATCCTCCTTTAAAACTGATCTAAATTGGAAATATTCCTTTGTCTTCTTTAATTTGATTTAGTTTTTTATTAAAGTAGGAAAAAAAAGCATATTGAAAAAAGGCCAAGAACATGCTTAGTGAATTCATGCAATAAGTAATTTCCAAATGGTAAAAGTAGTAACGAAAACGTTGTCTAATTCAGTTATGCTACATGTCATTTTGTTATTTTTAATAAACAATTTATTCGCATAAAGATAAATTATGTATCTACACTTATCTAAAATCACCAGAGCATCAATTATGTTACTAGCATTATTTACTTTACTTTCATAAAAAGTAAAAATTGCAAACAGCATTTGAGTGTTGCAGCTTCACAATATTAAATTATAAATGTACTTAGTTTTGGTGTGTTCAGCTGTTACTAAGCAGACTGAGTACAAGAGTATCTGTAGTGCAAGCAAGAAAATAGAATTATCTAATATGACATAATAGCAAAAATGTAAATTGAGACAACATGCATCTGAAAAGAAGGTTTACATTCTGTAGGAAACAAGACATGACACATACTTGCAGTGCTTTTCAGTTTGACTGGAAAGTAAAAAGAGGATAGAAAAATGGTCAGAACAGGCAGGCTCAGCATAATACTGTTATGGTGGAGAATGGCTTTACTTGTTCTACGTATTTACTCCGTATCAAAGTATAGTTTTTAGTAACCTCACAGTTATTAATAACAATCTAATGATGGATAATAACAGTAAGAATGTTCTCATCTACACTTGATAATTGCTGTGCTAGAATTAAGAACAAATAATGTTAACAATAAGAATATTAATTCTTCACTTATTTCTTTGCACTGAGAGGCACTAAGAAGACACTTTTTAAACCAGTGGTGATGGCTTCACAGTGAAACTGAGGAGTGCTGCTTCCTACACCTGCAGTAATTTTGCTTTATCTTGTACAAGTGAGGCTGCATAGAAGTTATGATATGCAGAGACACTTATCATAGAAAATGATGGTGCCAGGTCATGACCTGAGTAGTATATCATGTAATACCTACTATGGGGGAAAATTAAAGTGTTGCTGGTCCTGAGAAGTTGACTTATACAGGAAGGCTGTGAAATCCAAGTAAATGGCAGATACCCGCAAATAATTAACAAAATGAAGCTATTTAAAGCCAGCACCTTCAGAAAATGGTTCAAATTCTTTGCTGGCATAGGGTCTTTGACATCGGTGGAAGTACAGAAGCAGAAATTTGACCTTTGATATATATTTCTCCAGAAAATGACAAGAGGCATTGCAAATACATACTGTGCTACGTTAGCTATGGTTTGACACGTCAAGGCCATTCTATATAGGAAAATAGTTCAAAGGGCCATGATTTTGAAATTTGTCATAAGCAATTGTATATTGCAATTTCTTTAAATGACAGCTGTAAAAGTAATGAATGCATAAAATGCAGGAGTGCCTACCTGGTTTTGTAGGCGGAACATCTTTTTCACGTCTGACTGCTTCATGTTCTAGATAAAAGAAACAGCATCATAAAATTGCCGTAGTATTTCTAAGTTATGTAAGTTATGTTTTGTATGTCTTTTTTTTTTTTTTTTTCAGGAATTTTTTCAGGAATAAACGTTCATTTTCTGTTGCTTCATGCTGTTATTTTGGAAAAAAGCCAAATGCACAGTTACTAACAGATTATCCACTGAGGAATCTGCCACAAAATAGCAAAGTTCAGTCGTACTGCCCACAGCTCCACACGTATAGCTATTAATGTTACTAAGAGTTACGCATGTATCTTAAGGAAGAAGTCAGTAAATAGGGTCTCCCCTCACTTTCTGAAATGTAATTTGTCTACTCTCCATTTTTGTTGTTTGAAAGGAGAGCACAAAATAAACTCAGCAACCATTCACTTGACTTTTATATTGTTGAGTCAGACATACTTGAGCTGGATTCCCAAAGTCTTGAACACATCCTATTCCGTATGAATGAATTATATCTAACTGTGGAAAATTAGAGAACCAGCACTTATTGGCAACACTCCCCCCCCACCTCCCCAACTCCCACTGTTCTTTCATAATTATTACCAGGAAAAAAGATTTTAAAACATAATTTATATTAGGTTGCTGAAAACAGAAAAGATGAAGAACCTTTGTTTTAAAAACAAGGTGTAACACGACATAATTCATACAGAAGTTGCACATGCTTAATCAGAATTGAAAAAACTCCACACAGATGTTACAGCATAGTAGCAGCTATGCCAAACACATGCAAATAGGGGCCACAATGTGTTTTAGAGCTGAGGAATCAATGGACAGCTACGCTGGCCTTGTTTACTGGTGATGCTTCCCACAGCTAAAAATCTGTGCAAAAATCTCTTTGAGCAAGAAGAACAACACAAAGGTGGGCTATAAGGCGGAAAATGTTCAAAATGTGAGTAGCCCCTAAAAAGAAGGGCAATATGCCTTAGCCCTTCTGCTGTTTAGATGAATGATTGAACTCCTAGGAGCTGTGACTTCAAGTGAAGATATATGCCAGGAAATGCTGAAATGAAGACATGACAGAGAATTTCAAATGGGAAACAGTTTTATGAGGTGTGAATTAAAACTTATGCCAGTGAAGAGTGATATTTTTCCCACATCTGGGCTTTTTTGAGCATGACACTATTTGGGAACTTAACAGAATTTTATTTATTTATTTTTTCTTACACTTTTGTAGTTTACCTTACATGTTGAAGGCATGAAAGATACAAAAAATGAGCACGCTGAGTGGTAAGTTAAGGTTTGGACTCTTTTCAGTTCTTTTTGACTGAGAAAAATTCTAGATGCAGTTATACTAAAGCAATAAATTATTATGAAGAAAATGTGATGATATCTTTCTTTTTCTACTTCATCAGAAGTATTTATTCCACCCAACTAATTTTTAACAGGGTTTTTAAAAGGCTTGTCACTTCTGTATTAATATTTTTTTTTTGAAACTTGTGATATGGGAAGCATAGAATGAGTTGACTCCTGTATTGATGAAATTCATTATGGCAAATAGACTTTTAAATAGCGATGACAAGACATTTCGTTAAATGAAAGTAATGAAAGACATGGTGATAAAGACACTATAGCTTAAAGCAAAACTAGAAATTGCTAAAGGACAGTTTCCATATGTTAAAGTCAAAAAAGCCACACATATCCAGCTATATTACAGGTATTTTTCTAATCAAGATAGGTACCACGTACTTGTTGGCTTTGCCTGGACTATAGAAAAAAAAAAAGAAGGTAAATTGTGATATTTAAATATAAAGAGAAAAGAGATTCTATTTCTTTTTCTTCTTTTTAATATGAAAATGTTTTGATGGCAGTCAGTTTTCACTTATTCTTACCTTCCTGTACTCATGTAAAGATGCACAGCATACAGGTCCCTAAAATGCAGCTGGGCTCTAACTTGTTTAGTCCTTAACAAATCCCACCATCTATCAGCTCCTACTGAAATTACACAGTATCCTGTCATTTAGAACTGCAATATATTTATATATTCCAGGACTATTTCTCCCTGTGTCACAGTGTAAATCAGAAGTAGCTCCAGACCAGCTGACAGATGATTGGAAATTTTGGGTGAGATTCAACTCATTTGCAACATCAAGAAAACATTTGTCTAACATTTTTATTCAGGAGAGCACCAGTCATCTCCAGAGGATAATTTATATCATTACAAAATGTTTGTTGAGGAAAGATGGGACGACTCACCCACTCTTTGAAGTTTCCTGTTTCAAGTTCAACAAGTATTGACCTGAAAACTTAGAAGTTACTTTTGTAGTGGCTTATGTTAAAATGGCCAACCTGAAATACTGCATTTTAAGTTTGGTTTCAACAAACAGGAAGCACCTGACTCAAATCTTTCAGAAAGTAGTCAAGTCATGATATTTCTAGCAGTTCTTTTTCCAACCACTGCTAAACCACAGCTTGAGCCTTCTGATTGTATCACAAACTAAGAGTGAAGCTTAGCTGACCCTAACAAAATTGTGAATTTAGGTGTGAAAATATTGTAAATTTCAAAGATGTCATTTCTTCCTTCTCCAGACTTGTTTGCTTGTCAGAAATTGCTAAGTCATTAAAAGTTCAGGTTAGCAATATATTGAAGTATTTTGCAGCAATTTCTCCAATTCTATTAACAGAATCATAATTTATATGTTTTGAAAAAGCTACAGCAGTTTATGATCAGATAAAAACTATGAAAATAATATGTAAAACATCATTTCATTGTAAAATCATAGATTATCATGAGAGTTCTTACACAAAGCAATGTAAACTCACAAATCATATGAAAGTTCATAGAGACAGAACCACACTATTCTGTACAACATCTATTCTGCTACTGAAGAGAAGAAAAAACACATACAAAACAAGAATAGAAAAGAGGTATTAAACAGCACCATTCAGCTTAACACACACACAGAGTATTTTATTTTATGGAAAATATTCATCATCATCACCATCATACCAAATGAAAATCTATTGTCAGCATCATTGTCTAAGGTTTGTCAATCTTTCGTTTTATATTTAGATCAAGGCTACCCCCACTAAAAATCAAGAGGTTAATATCTATAAGAAGCCTTCAAAATAGTTTGGCTGTCAGTGATGATGAGAATTTTCTCATTCCTTGAGTGACCCTTCAGGGCTTCTACAACAGTCAATATTACTTGGCTCTTTTCTGTCAGCATTATTATTACAAAACCTACAAGGTATAAATCATAGGAAAGACCCAAAGACTTAGAGGTTAGTTCCAAAAACATTTTCCTCATGAGAAAGCCAGTTTAAGGTACATTCAGGTCCCTAATTCAAGTAGTGATTCACCCTCCTGCATCACACTCTACTTGGGCACCTTTCTCTATGCTGTAAATTCAGTTGCTTGAAAGATCTGAATTTAAAAAAAAAGCCAACCAAGAACCAAACAGCAATGCCTTTCAAGGATATTTGAATCATTTCAGAGACCTGATTTACAGCTTCATCCTATTTCATTAGCTCAGCTCAGAGAGGCTGGAACAAGCAGCCCAAGAGCTGAAATATCTTGACCTGGCTTTGTCATTGGAAGGGCTGTTCTTAGAATGGTATCTGCAGTTGCCACTCTGCTAGATTTCCTCTAAGAAAGCTTTATCAATCACATATTTCAACATACCATAACAAAATTATTGCAGTGCAAATGTAATAACATTAGAAAAGTTCTGAATATTGCTTAACATACCCACTACCCCCCACCTCCCCCATAAATCTGGAGAGAATGATTTGTTCCTACCTGACTTCTCCGTGGGAGTTGTCTTTTGTTGTTTAATTTTCTCCTCTGTGTTGCGAAAGCAGCATTACAATTAGAAATTCACACTGTGTTAGCAAAGGTACATATAACTGGAAAAATATTTCTATATGTGATGTTATACATACGGCTCACAATGACAAAATTAGTGCATGTCTTTAACATCACTATCCCATTGTGGCACTGTAAAACAGCACATATGCATTATGAGTTCTGACTGCATGGTGACATCATACTCCACGGAAAAAATAAATTACTGGGCCTAATACCTCAAACACCAGGAAACAGCCACATAATTGGCAGTGTCTTTCAGGTAGGCACTCAGGTGAAAACTGTATTCTAATAACACAACAATTATAACTTCATGGACATCACCTTGCTAACTGTCTAAGTTCAACACTAGTATTATACAACGCTGAAAACTTCTGCTCAGATACTGCCTAACCACAATTATGTACGGATATATCAGTGTGCATCTACACTCTGAAGACGAGAAAGGTAGGAGACCCCCAAGCACACGTCCACATGGGAGAGGGCCACAGCCTGAATGCCAATTCATACCACCTGCTACTGGATGAGCTTACCTAGACCCAGCTGGGCATCTGTCACGAAACCTTAGAGCAGCCTCAAGCTTCTGCTAATCTCCTGAGAAAAGCTGTCCAAGTCATGTGCTCTTGAGGTGCCTGTGGCTTGGCTCTGTCCAGTTCTCAGATGACGTGGACCACCATCGACATCAGCTGCCAGAGCAGAGCTGCCTTCCCTCCAAGCAGGCTAGGGGAGGGAGCTTCAGGCAGAGGTGCAGGCAGGGCTACACTTTCTGACCAGGTGGGGTTTGTCTTAAGTGCCTGATCACCCAATCATGTGGGAATTGGGATGTTTGGTTTCAGGTCTCTACTCAGCCCAGTTTGGTTGACCTGACCTGATCCTTTCATGGCTGTGCTCCTCTTTTCTCTTTTCCTATACCTGAATTCAAACCCCTCTCCTAACCCCTACCTTTCAACATTCACATACATCACTACTTTCCTTTTTAAGTATGTTTAAGACACATTCAGAACATATTTCCCTTTCCTCTCCCTGATGGAAGCAGTTTACAGTCACATGCCTCTGGCCCTTTTGTTTTCTCCAAGACCTCTGCAAGGCATCAGATTCAAGCTGACAATGGCTGGGTGGAGACCAAGTCGTTCAGGGATGTCTTGTCACCTGAAGCCATTCAACTAATCCAAGTACAAGCTGGCTAGAAACCCTCCTGGGTAGTCTGTCTGTGCATGCAGAAAGCTGCCTGGCTCCTGAATATGAGCAATGTCTCCAGCCTGGCAGTTGGACTTGTTCTTAAACAAGATGATGGAGGGAGGTACTAGGAAGGTGTTGAGTGGCTAGAACCACCTGTGGATTATCAGATCCCTGGCTTATCCATCACTGTATCTAGGTACTCTCAAACAGTCAGCCTGAAGAACTGCTGCTTTTTTTTTTTTGTGGGGGCTATTTCTTTGGAACCCAAATGTCCAAGTTTGGATGCTAAATCATAAATCTGCACTCTGAATAAATATATTGATAGCTGACTGTTGAGTGGTCTCAACACACCTGATATTTCCTTTGAATTTAACATGTAACTTCCACAAGATCTTTTTTTTTCTGAGGGCAGAAAGAAGGTTTATCTTCTCTGTGCTGATTTATTTTAACTTAGCTCTGTGAGATTCCCAGAGGTATACGCTTATCAATGAGGCCTAAAAAGACATTTATCATATGTCAGTAGATGGAGAAACAGCCTCATTGCTGTACAGTCCATGTTTCTCATCCATAACACAGCAATATCCGGCAAAACTACTGTGTAATTATGGACATGAAGCAACACAGCAGTTGTGGGGGCTTGGGTTTTGTTTGTTTGGTTTGGTTTCTTTGGGTTTGTTTCTGGAAGGAAATCAGTACTGATGGGGGAAAACATAGTGAGGCATAAAGCTCCATGGTTACTGATCTTTTCTATTCTTTGGAAACAAAATATAACCCTGCATTGCTATGCTTTTCAGTTGTCAGCTGATAGGTGGTGATTTAATTTCTCTTCACTTGTATTAAGTTTAGGGCTATTTTCCCCCTTACTCAGCTATTGTTATTGTCAGCTTCTTATGAAAGCAGTGAATTAAAAAATCTTATCTCCATTTCGTTGCTGTCTGTGAAGCTAGAAATGTTTTTATAGCACAACCAGCAGCTTGAAGATGCAACTTTTTGAGATGAAGTATCCTCTTTATGCTCATAGTTGAGCTTTACCATACAACAATGCATTTCACTAATTTAATTGGGGTATTAAGTTTTCCATGCACAAATACACAAAACCCCCCCGCATGCTGAATTTAAACATAGGTTCTGTACCATCCACTAGATTAATGACAAGTAAAGCTCAAAAGGTTTGGAGCTTCTCTTTCTTTGGCTGTTACCCCTGCTCTTTTGAATATTTTTGCTTTTTCTAATTCTGGTGACAATTTACAGCAATGTCTGCTCTGTAACTCTAGGAGTCAATCAGACAGGTCTGTGAGACGGCAGCATGTCAGATCCATTTAAAAGTATGGGAGAGATTTTCTTTTCAAAATTAATTTATTTCTGAAAACAGAGTGTCTTGAAGGGGCCTGTGGACTTGCATGAATCTGGGAAGAGATATAGTAATTCTTTGGTATTCATTCACCTACCTATTCAGCAACCTAACCATACAGCATTTATGGATCTTCAGATTCCACTGGAGAACACCCTGACCCATTTCTCCAGGAGATGACTCCATGGGATTTTCCCCGGAATTTCTAGCTATTGGTCATGACCAGAAGGAAAACTGAAGGAGCAGATCATAAAAACTTAAGGAGAAAACTCTCTATGAGGGAACACACTTCAAGACATCAGGAAGCTTCACAAAATCATTTCTATTCACCAGAATTCAGTGTGAAGAAAAGCAGTGAAAAAAAAATCTGATGAGGATAATTCATAGTATCTTGGCAAGAACAGAAGAAATATTACCAATTTCTCATGTACTTTTTGTTTACTCTATCATGAGATGTCTGGGAAAAAAAAAAAAAAAGAAATTTTTATGACCTCATAAAGCTACAAAAAGCCCAAAATAATTTTTTGTAAATATTTTAGAAAAAATCAGATCTTTTTCTGATTTTGAATAAGCCCAGAGTTTAAAATTCTGAAATCTTTAATGGAAGAGAATTTCTTTCCTCTGCAGAGCTCTAGTTTTGCAGCACTGGAATCATTAATATTTATTTTTTTCCCTTATGTATCTAATTTAAATGGAAAAATATAAAGCTGTAAACATTTCTCTGTGCATTTCAGGCAGTTTCGGAAGAATTACATGGGGAATGAATCTCTTTCTTTACTTGCTCTTCCACACATACAGAAAACACTCTTTAATTTAAATGTTTCCCTACAGGATCAATATATTTTCTGAAATTCTCTAGTCTCTCGGTCATGTGATACTTGCAAGTCTGATGGCGGGAGGCACAGGAATAATAGTGTGAAGCTGCTCTGAATCAAGGTGACAAAGGAGGGCACCACTTTGTACAGAATGAGGCTTTTACAATTGAGTCTGTTAACTCAAGAGCACTCACTGGCACACAGCAGGCAGAAGCACTATTACCACCAGTGCTTGCAGATTAATATTTCCAGTCATCAACTGAAACTCAAAAACAGCCTCTGCTCTCCAAAGCAACCATTAATCACCTGAGAAGAGGTCTTTTATGCTAAAAGAAATTTAGTTAGTTTTTCTTTTCTTCTTTTATCTTCCTTCAGGCATTTAAATTCCAGGAGCTTTAGTCTGGTATATACTATACTATACTAGAGTGAGATCCTAATCCAATGTACTGGTTGGTGACATGATGCTCTGGCGTTTGCAAATGCCTCACCAGGGAAATTTATTTCCATGCTGCTCTCTGGATGAGCTCAGGCTGATTATCTAGCAGGACTGATTTCATTTTGCAGGAGAGGAGGGTGGTTGTACCCCCTGGCTGGGCAGTCCACTGGCCACCAATGACCCCTCTCAGGATGCACATTGCTGGACAAAGTGGCCTCCTCACTAAGACGTTCCTGCCTTGGCTGAGCCCATCTGCACCCACTGGCTGGCTGAAGCCCTCTGCTAGCTGCTAATACACAAAAAATGGTCAACAAGGCAAAAAGAAAAGCTAGGCCTCTGTCTTTGAAGACTGGAGTGAGAAACATTGCTTTCTTTCCCCGTCGACTCAAACCCAGTAATAAAACTTCACTAAATCAGCTACTCAAAGCTTGCAGAAAACCTCAAAATGTCTGTGGAAATACTTAACTTACAAGTGCAATATTGTATTATAAAAGCAAATGAGAAACACAGTTAATGTATAAGGGAAAATGGTTTCTTTCAAAAAAAAAAAAAAGAAGCAGGAAAAGAAGCATAACTAAAAAAAAAAGGCTGCCTGCTTATCATTGAGCACATAAGGTTTTAAGTGGTTTATTTAATCCCTTATTCACGAGGGCTTCATTTTTATGTGAAGTTTAAACAGCAGTGCGACCAGCAAAGGCTGATGGGACACTGATACCTGCTCTTTTGTGCTCACTGCATCTGCTAAGACCACTCAGGAGCCACGTAACCAGAGTACCAATGGCTGAGTTTTCTACGAGGACATCCCCTTAGTCTTGTTTCCTCACACCACACCCAACTGTGGATCCCTGAGTGTCTTCCTCCTCAAAAAGCATGATGAGGCACAAGGCCCTGGTCTGAAAGGGCGAACCCTGTTCTGCTGACCAGAGTCAGTTGCTGGTTATTACTTGCAGTTTACCCGAGTGCATAGTCAGCCTAAGATTTTATTTTTTAAAAAAATTTTTTTTAAATCTTTGATATACTGAAAGGCAGGAGAGAACTCCCTCCCCAAACTCTGCAAAATGGGTTTTGCTAATGCTTTATAAGCCATACTGTCCCAATGAGAGTCAGAGGAACTATGAAAAACTGTGAAAGCGGAATCCTTTTTGCCAAATTTCACCCTCCCATTTTTTGCAAACCACACAAATCCTTATTAAATGGAGCCTGGAGTAACTGGAATTTAAATTACCAAACCTACCTGTCTTAGTCTGAGAGACAGATTTTTCGTGTTTAATGCTTTCATGCTCTGCAAATAAGAAGAACCCCTATGTTAGAGAGATTTTTAGTTTTTAGGAAATTTTAAAAAGAGAGGATTCTCTTTGTGATTTTAAAAGATGAGTTTGCATTACATATTCTCACTAGACTTGAGAAGAATTTTTTGATGAATATCTTTCTTGGGAAAAGGCACTCATTTTTTTCCTAGAAAAATAAAAACGATGCCAAAGAAAAACAAACTCTTACTTTTTAATGTGATTTAAGAGATCAAAAAATCCTGTTCTGTGTTTTTTAGAAATATACAATTTCTAAAATTGTGAAATGCTTCCACTACTAATTTTTATTGCTTTCACCAATCTTCTATATAAAGAATTTCTCCTTGATGTTTAACATAGAAATCATGAAAGTATTTTATTACAACAATAAGTAGGGTTGTCTGATATAGAATGGCAAATAAAAGTTCAGTATGTTGCATAAAGAAAAAGCAGCTTTCCATATTTCTCTGTTAGCTTGGATCCCATGGATATTTTGTGAAGCAGTAACTCTTGAGGCTGAGAGAGTTGGGGTTGTTCAGCCTGGAGAAGAAAAGTCTCTGGGGAGACCTTATAGCAGCCTTCCAGTATTGGAAGGGGGCCTACAAAAAAACTGGAGAGGAACCTTTTACAAGGGCATGTAGTGATAGAATGAGGCTTAATGGCTTCAAACTGGAAGAGGGTAGATTTAGACTAGGTATCAGAAAGAAATTCTTTACTGTGAGGGTGGTGAAACACTGGAACAGGTTGCCCAGGGAAGTTGTGGATGCCCCATCCCTGGAGGGGTTCAAGGCCAGGCTGGATGGGGCTTGGAGCAACCTGGTCTGGTGGGAGGTGTCCCTGCCCAGGGCAGAGGGGTTGGAACTAGACGTTCTTTAAGGTCCCTTCCAACCTAAATCATTCTATGATTCTAAAAATAATAAATATTATACTGTATTAAAATATAAGCTGCATGCAATTTATGTTATTTAAAAACTGTGATATCCAAAACCCAACATTATGAGACAGAAAAAAGAAAGCTATGGAATTTCAGAGGAATGTTAAAAATATGTTTCATTCTGATTTATAGCAGCTATGTCTAAATTATGTCACAGGTGAGGGCTGCAGCATACTAAGAGATAAATCTCTCCATTGCTTGGATCAAGCCCTACCCAGAGAATTGCAATGACCCATCCTCATCAGTGTCTCCTTTGATTTTTTCCAGTGAGAAGCTGTCGTGGAGGCAGAGTGCACAGCTGGATCTAACCCCAACTTAGATTGGAAAACGGTTTCCACACACACTGAGACCTGTGAAACACATCTGGTCTTGCATTACAAGGTAATTGAAAACCATTTTCATAAGTAAAAATTTCCTGTGAGTTTGTGTTGACGAATCTCGTCTTTAGCTGCTAATGGTAACATAAAGGAATACCTTCCTCCTAAAGCTGAAGTCACAATATTATCAACTTGATACTTACTGTGTTTGTGAGATTTCTCTGAGGTAGCTAGAAGTAAACAAACAAACAAAAAAGTATTTTAATATTTTTGAGACTGTAAGGGAGGATTTAATGCATTTATTCATGACATTTCTAGACAGGTAAAATAAATGTTCAGTGAAACATATATTAAGATGTGCAGCAGTTGGTGTTGCTTTACTTACACTATCCACCCCAATTGGGACACTTAGTTAAGGAACACAGGCACCCTAAATTCCTCATTTATCCAATGTTTGATACAACCTCTGGCAGAGCCTTCCACCCCTGGAAAGTTCTGCTCCTCCTTGGTGGGCACCCTCACTAAATGGTGACCTGGGACAACTGCCCTGCTAAGGAAGGTGCTCAGCTCAGTCCCCACTAAGAGACAGCCCCAGTTCAGACCATGAGGTGTCCAATACTGGACAAATCCAGATAAATACTTTTGGGTTGAGTGAGGAAATGACACCTAGGACAGCTTAATTGCAAGGAAAATTGCACCTGCCCTAGTGAAGTCAATGAATTTCAGATGGATTCAGTGATGCTCCAAGGAGCAAAAGGACGTATTTGAAAACGCAATTAATGTAATTAGGGGACATCTAATCAAAAGGACTCAGCATTTCAGTGCTGCAGCTCCTAAATGTCGAGCTATTTAATTTTCAATTTTTTTTTTCCAGAAAAGATAGATGGGGCAAAACTGAAAACTGAGCTAATACTTTCCATGGACCTTAAGAGAACATTTCTCAGGTAAAGTGAGAGCTCGGGGAGCTGTACCCAACGTCATGACTGGTGCTACAGAAGGAAATGAAATGCCAAGGCCTAGCCCACCAGCAAGACAGCTGTTGTTTTTAAGAGAATAAAGGTTCTACCACCTGCACGTAAACATTCTGCTGTGTGGGAAAGAGCATAATCCCGTGGAGAGCTGCAGCAGTGCTGGGGATGAGCTGCCTCTGCAGGCCCAGCACGACAAGCAATAATTCTGCTGCTGTGAGCTTCTGGGCTGTGATTCACTGAGCTCCTGAGCTCCCACTTGGGACAAAAAGTAACTAACTGCTGTGCAAGTGGGTCTTTGTTCTGCTTGTTTTCCCAAAATCGATCCCATTTTATATCCAGTTTCAATTTAATCCAAGTTCTTGCTGTGTATTTAAGGCGACAACAACTGGAGATGGTGTGCAGAGCAAAGCAAAATTAGCAGAATGTTTTTTGGGTAATAGAGACTAAAGATACAAATTAAAGGTATATGCTTGCTCCTAAGTGAGGAATCAAGCATAAAAAGCAGCAAAAAAAGAGGCATCCTATTAAAAAAAACCACATTTGTTATCTTTAAGGGCATAAAAAAATCTTTTTGTAAATTTAGGCTCAATTGTTTAGCCTAAACACAGCAAACCGCACAAAATATAGTTTCCTAAACATCATAAGCTCAGGTAAATTCTTTTGTAATTGAGTATCCGTGAAGTATGTCTGAAATTTGAAGAGGAAGTTAATTTTTTATTGTGGCAAAAGACCTAGTGAGTTATGCTCATCTAGCTATGCATTTCAATTTGCAAAAGGAAATTCATGGCAAATATTTAAAAAAAAAATATCTCAACTTTAGGGACCGGTATAGTGGGTTACATAACTACAACAAAATGTTGTGTCACATAACACTTTCAGTGACCCCCAACAATGATCAGAGCTAGGCCACATAAGAATAGTATTCACTTAAAGACTACTAACTGACACGGCTTGACGAATTTTACAAACAACCTGTTGTTAAAACATTCTTATCTTGGATCTGCAATTTGCTTTAGAGCACAAAAATCAAAATAAAACCATTGCACCTTAACTTTCTAGTGAAGGCAGTGCAGTTATTTCCTTTTTTCTGCTGGTGAATATGAATCAGAGAATGTTTAAAGCAATAGGAACTCAGACCAGGTCTGGTCCCTCAAGTTTAGGGAGGTGTCTGTGTTGCCCTTGCCCACATTTTCTGTGGTGGTATTAATTAATCAAAATCATATAGTATCAGTACCCAGCCAGAACTTGAATGCTGAGATTGCACTACTAACTGACACAGCTTAATGAATTTTACAAACAACCTGTTGTTAAAACATTCTTATCTTGGATCTGCAATTTGCTTTAGAGCACAAAAATCAAAATAAAACCATTGCATCTTAACTTTCTAGTGAAGGCAGTGCAGTTATTTCCCTTTTTCTGCTGGTGAATATGAATCAGAGAATGTTTAAAGCAATAGGAACTCAGACCAGGTCTGGTCCCTCAAGTTTAGGGAGGTGTCTGTGTTGCCCTTGCCCACATTTTCTGTGGTGGTATTAATTAATCAAAATCATATAGTATCAGTACCCAGCCAGAACTTGAATGCTGAGATTGCTACCATAGCTTTTCCTAAAAGCCTAGCCTTCTTTTTTTCTGGTGTGACACAGAAATATTTCTACTGCATATTCTGATGAAATAATGAAGATCATCTGAAGTTTTTATAGGATGTGTTGGTCATTCCAGATCATGTCTGCTTTTTTTTTTTTTTGAAAAAAAGAGAAAAGTGAAATTTTTAGATGTTATGTAGGCCATAAAGAAACATTCGTGTTTTGCTAAATCTGCTAACTATGATTTCAGTCTATTCACTATTAAACTTATCCTTCTTATATGTCATATTTTCTCATAAAAGATGTAATTCAAATGACTTAGACAACAAGCAGAAAATTGAAAAATTAAATCCCAAGACCCTTAGTTTTGTTTTTACAATATCATAATTGTCTATAACAGAGATACTCTGATTTTTAGTCTACCTAGTAAAAACAGGAAGAAGATAAAAGTTAAATGTGACTGAACTTGTCAGACTTTCCAGAATATTTAATGATATATTATATGATATTTAACCTAAAGGGTGAGAAATGAAAGGCTGTATGATGCTGCTCTCAATCATTTTATGTAGTATCTTGCACTGGAAGTAGAAGAGCTCTATTCAAATTTTGTGTTTAAATAATATTTTTTTATACAATGCCTAGATAAGCTGTGAAAATCCATGCTGCAAAATGTGCGGATGTTGAAAATTTTCACAATTTCAAAAAGTGACTGGGAAAATTAGAGAAAAATCTACCAAGTGCTCTTAAACATAAAGTTTTCTATCTTAGGAAGTTCCTTAGCTGAGATCATGGGAGGTCACAAGGTGATCTTTGTGTGGCTGTTTCGTTCCAGTACTCTTCCCTAGGCATTTGCTGGTTTGGCCATTGGTGGAAAGAGGACGTTGGGTTAGATGAACACTTCAAACAGCTGTTGTGATGTCATTAACTAACAGGAATACCTGCTGGGTAAATAACTGCTTGTTGTTCACAACGTTAAGAAATTCAGTCCTAAGTAAGTACTTTATCTTCATTTATTCAACACTTAAACTATACTAAGAGGAGGAAAAGGGTCAGATTCCAATCTAATGAAAACAGATGGATCCTTGATGAAATAATTGAAGCAACATAAGATCTCAACTGGATCAATGAAATTACCCGGTTCTACTCTCAGCAAAAATGTTTTTGAAATTTCTTTTGTGTCATTCTAAATTAAACTTGGTAACTGGGCTTGGTAGTTATCCTGCTGTTTTCCACATTCACTTCAAATTTTCTTTGACTCTTGCCTGTTATTCTGAATGCCATAAGGGCATTAATTATATACGGCATATTTTTGTAAATTAGCTTCTGATATGGGTTCAGAAAAGAAATCCTCTGGTTTATTGAACCATAAATTGGTGAGGCTAAAAGCAGAACATGCTTTTTGATTATAACATGTCTATTTTCCATCTGGATAACAGTCATTTGCTGTTCAGACAGCAAATATATTTGTGAGCGTGCACACTGCGTAAGAAAAGAATATGTCATGCAGGAAATGAAAGCAATGCCTGAACTATTTGTTTTAGTGAAGAATAACAAAATAATAATATATGTAGCTGAGAAAATTATTTCTAATTGGATAATCACATGTGTATTATAAATAAGAAAGTTATTTTCCATTAGGCTAAGTAAGAGTCTGGTTCATCTCTCATTAAAGAGAGCACAAAGACTCTTTAATAGGATTTGGACTGGGCATTAGATGAACACACCCATGGGGCTTATCTGTAACACCATTACAGACCAAAAGAGGAATCAAGATCAACAGGAGTCTTTTAATGGAATTCTCAAGATTTGTGCCCTAACCTTGCAGTTTATATATCATGACAAAGGATAAATCTTTTATTTCCTTATTCAAGCTAAGTCCATTCGCCCTGAAAATGAACTCTAGACAAACTAACAATTTGGCCCTCAGACAAACTAATCGTCATTCCTCCTTCAGAATTCAGTGGGAATACAGTAGTCTGCAAAAACTTAAGATGCCACATCATTCTGCCTAATTGTTGATGTGCTTTTAATTAAAGGTTGAATAAAACAGTTTTATTTCAGTCAGTGGAAGGTTTTTCAGACTGTGGAGCAACTGGACTACAAAAAGTAAACCAGAATAAAACATTGAGCCAGTTCAGTATGTCTCAGATGATAATAACTTTGGAAAAAAAGGGGATTGTTAGGATCTATCACTCTGTTCAAGAGCCGCTCCCTGTCTTTGTAAAGTTATTGTCTGTACTATTTGTCATTTAAAGGAGAAGTCAAAGGTTCCTGCAAGTTTTCTAGATCAGCAGACCCGATCCCTCATATCTGCCTATGTCCTCCTCAAGTCCTGCTGGCTGGCTGAGGAGCTGGCAGACTGATTGTGCAGAAAGAAGTCTAATATGTCTAAAAAAATGTTTCCTCAAAAAACAGACGAGCTGCAGAAAGCTTACTATAAAGAGAATGGCTTGTGCTTGTTGCTCCTGACCCCTGCTCTGTGTTAGGAAATTGCCTTGAGAGTTTATGGCCAATAGTTTGCCCCACGGATAAGTCAAAGTAAAGAAAGCAAGAAGAGTGTGGTGGTGCTGGTCACACGAATACAGGGAGCTGGTGTATGAGCATTTTAATGTCCATGCTGTGCAAGCCTTGTCCTTACACATCTCTTGATTCTCTACAGCATCCACTTTATGTTAC